ATACAATGTGGCTCGATAATAAATAAAACCGAATTATATATATATATTCATACACACAATATTTATTATTAAGATATTAAGACAATTAGACATTTAAATAATAATAATAATAATAATAATAATAATAATAATAATAATAATAATAATAATAATAATAATAATGCAATAATAATTCTAAAATAATCCGAAACAAATGGGGCGCTACACAAGTAAAATCCAATAAGTTGTATGGCTTCATTTTCAGTTGCTACTGTCAACATGAACTAGTGTTGATACCCGTGCGATAAGGGGCGAATCCAGAAAAAAAAAAAAGTTTGGGAGGGGCCAAAGCAGTTAATTGGAATCAGATTGTGTTTGTTCAATTGTGATAGTTTGATCTCATATCATTCATAGAGAAAAGTGCATTTTTCGTCCTCTAAGTATACCCCTCTGAACAATTTAGTCCTCTTCGAATAGCCACTTTGAGTTTCGTCCTCTAACATCGAAAAAAGGTTGCAGATTCGTCCCGACTCGCCGGAAACTTGTTAATTGCCCGGAAACACGCACGTGACATGCACGTGATGGAAATTAACGGGCAACTCGCCTTACGTGGATCCGGTTTTTACACGCTGGTGTGGGTTTTGACACGTAGACCAACAAACTTAAAGGAAAAAAAAAATAAAAAATCCACGTGTCGACACACGTGGAAATGGAAACGGGGATAAAAGGAAGAATCGGGCCTGAAATTCCTCAGTTACAACGTCCTTGAACCCTAATTTCCCAAATCAAAAGATCCCAAATTTTCAAGAACCCTAATTTTGAAAATTGTTCTTCAATCTCGATTTCGTTCTTCAACATGTCTGAGTCGTCGCATTCTACCGGTTTCTTAGAATGTTGGTGCAGAAAAAGGGTTGTTATTCGCACATCATGGACGGCCGACAACCCGGGCAGGAGATTTCATTCTTGCCTCGGCTACAAGGTACGATTTCATTCTACCGATTTCAGTAGAATTGGGTTTGTTCTTGTTTCTTCGGTTATGTTTAATGCAATGATCAATTATGTTATTTGGTATTATGTGTTTTTTCCTTGAACCCTAATTCTACTTCCCATTTGGCTGCAACGTTATGAAGCTCAATTTGGTCATGAAGCTCAATTTGGTGACTTTTTTTTTTTTTAATGTATAGAATGGAGGCTGCAATTTTTTCTCTTGGGTCGACCCTCCTACCTCTGACCGGTCTCAAACAATCATGCCTGGGTTATTGAAGAAGATGAATACACTGGAGAGAGCAAAAAAAAAAACTTAAAATTTGAGAATACCAAGTTGGAGGACAAGGTTGAAAAACTGGAAGAGAAGATTGAAAAACTGCAGAAAAAGGTTGAAAAATTGCAAGCATTGAACAAGAGAGTGGTTGAAAAGAAAGAAAAAATGGAGATGAAAATGGGGTTTGCATTGGCTATAGCAATTGTGTTGTGTGTATTTTTGCTATATAGATATAGGTGAAGGCTATGGATTGAAGAAGGTTGTGTAATGTGTTTATTTTCTCTAGTAATCTTTTATGTACTCTTGTATTTTGTGTACCTTATTTTGTGCACTTGTGGTTGTAATGGAAATAAATTTTCTTTAGTTTCCATACTTGTGAAGTTTGTCCCTTCAATTTGGAACTGCACAAACCTCAAGAAAACTTAACTGATTACCACAAACAACTCAACACAAATAAATTCAATGTCCTGCCATTCACACCTCAACACAAATAACCATCATAACTGAACTCCTCATAACCATCACCACAACTTATATTTTCCATTAACTAAACAAAAAAATAGCACAACACAAGTGTTTTACAACCACCAAGCATAATAAATCACATTACAATATCCTGCCGTTCAGTTTCCCAACAAAATTAACAATATCCAAAAGCATTCTAACAATACCATGCCATTCAGTTTCAATACAAAAAATGCCATTCAGTTTCAATACAAAAATCCATTCAGTTTCAATCCTGCAAGTGTTTTACAACCACCCAATTAACTTCACTTCTTTCTAGAATTTTGTCCCTTCTCCTTTTTGATCTGCTTCAACTTTTGAGATGAGCTACCCAAAGATAAGTCATTTTGTATCCTTTCAAACATTGCTGGAGTTCCATCTCTTGCAGTGATGGCCTCCAACTGCTTACCTCTAAAGTATGAATCATCTCCTAATCCCATTTTCAGTTGTTCAAGGGGTGTGGGTCCCTTTGTCATCTCAGGCTGTTGAGTTGCACAAAACTTTTGTGTCAATTGTGACACAAATCCCTCATCATCCCAATCAGTTTCTTCTACAAATGGAGCAGGTGGTGCCATGCTTGGCCCTTCTTTCTGTTGAAGAAAAAACACAGACATAACACCATTTTTTTTTACACTGAACATAACCTAAATGAATTACAAGGAAAATTAACAAAGGAAGTAATACCTGTTTCTCTATGGTGGAGGAGGAAGCTTGTTTCTGTTCAAGAAACAACAATTTTTTCATCAGAAACATTTGTTAATAATGTAATTAAATGGATTAAAAATGGATTAGAAAGAAAAATGAATAAAGTACCACCTGCTTATCATTGCTCAAACCTTGTTTTTGTTTCTTTGATTCCCTTTCTTTTTGATTGGACTCTTTTGCAGCAGCTTTAGCTTCTTTGGTTTGTCTTGCAGCATTAGCCCTCTTGATTTTCAATTGCAAAAGTTTGGAAACATAAATAAATAAATAAGTAAAAACGCATCTTTTAACAATAAATAACAAAACTGAAAATTAAGACATATTATACATAAAAGCTGTAATTTTGCTTACAATTGCCTTGCTTGCTTTGGCCAGTGGGCTCTGACAGTCCTTCTTCTTGGCATCAGAAACTTTTTCCTT